TAACCTATTTGCTCCTGATGTGGGTGAGGACCCAATTGGAGACCAGGTGCTGTAGAGCGGAGTGATGGACTGACCGCTGTCCAGGCACTGTTTCGCTTTCAGTCTCTGTCACAGCTACTGTGGTCCATACAATCCAGCTGTGATTGTACGCAGATGGAATTTAAGAAACACACGACTGGAAGCAACTTTCCTGTTTAGTGCAACTCCCCACCCAACACATGGGCATCCCAGACTCCCTTGTAGCCTTCGGGGACAGAGTTCGCTCCTCCTCACACAGGACAGGGGCCCACAGTCCTTTCTCACTGGGTCCTGCTCTACTTTCTCTGCCATGAATACTACATTGCCTTGTCAGAAACCTGAAGTCCTGTGCAGGCCAGGGAGGCTTCTGCCAGGAATCTCAGTGATGATGTCTCTCTGAACAGACCTTTTGATACGGTGTTGGCACCTGGCTCTTTGGAGGTGGCTGGACCATTTCAAGAGTTGTTTTAGGGGGTGGAGAGATAGCTCAATGGTTAAGCACTGGCTGATTTTTCTGAAGGCTCTAGTTCCATTTCTGGCACCTAGATGGTGGCTCACAACCATCTGTAACTCCAGTGCCAGAGGATCTGATGCCCCCTTCTGGCCTCTGCAGGCACCAAGTATACGCGTGGTATACAAGCTTGGAAAACACATAATATAAACAACATAAAAATACATATAAAATAAATAAATTAATTTTAAAACAAGTTTAATAAAAGAGCTGGAGTGACTAGTCACTGAGGCCCCAAGGGCTCTAAGCAACCAGGTTCCACTCCGCATCTGGTTCTTGGAGCTACTCATAGGACCCACTCAGACTCCAGAAACTCTCCTGCCTGCTTTGCCTGTTAATAGGGCAACTGGAGGGATTTGAACAAAGGATTGTTACCTTCCTTTTGGACCTGCCTGGGCTGGTTCTACCATCAAGGCTCCATCTGAGTCTATGAATCTTGTTTCAGGCCCTCATAGTGCCCATGAGAGCCTCTAAGAAGCCAATCTGACCATCCCCCTCCACTTCCACAAGAGCCTCCCATCAGAACTCTGTGTGAAATGCTCACTCAGGCTTGGAACTGACTATCCAACCACTGAGCTTCCCAGTCCCTATGTTTCTGTTTTGTTTATAAGGAAGTCACAAAGGCCCTGCTTGTGCCTGCTGGAGTCTCTGTCATGATTTGATATACATCTATCCCTGTGAGACTAGAGCTCAGGCTCCAGCTGCCTCTGTCTTTTCCGTGTTCTGCCTAGCATTTCTAGAACTTCCTTTTAGAGTAGCTTGGAAACTAACTCACCCAAGCCCAGTTGGACTTTTAGCCCTCTATAGGGAACCAACGGGGTTGGGTGCTGATAGAGATGCCAATTCTTGATGTCTAGCTTCTCCATCCAGCTTTTAATAGGGTGGTGGTGGTGGTGGTGGTGGTGGTGGTGGTGGTGGTGGTGTGTGTGTGTGTGTGTGTGTGTGTGTGTGTGTAGATCAGGGAACAGAGTCTTCAGAAAGAGATGGCCAACCCAGACCCTACTAGCAAGGGCAGAGCGGGGCAGGAACTCTAATCTAAGATGTTCCATACTGCCCCTTGCCCTTAGCCTCCACACTCTTCCCCATCACTCCTGCCTGTCCCTTCTCCCAGGCTCGGCTACCAGAGTCTTGAGCAGGCCCCTGCTGGGGCTCTTCTAAGCAAACCCATCTGGTACTGTCTGAGGACTGCCTTATCTGCTGTCAGTCGGAGGGTGAGGATCACTGCGCCTTTTCCTGTGTTCCCTGCACAGGATGAGGGAAGAGAAAGGGGGCCTGGGAAGGAAGATGCACCCCCAGGGAACTGAGACTCAGGAGGGGTAGGCGGCTCCATGGGTGTCGCATCTGCTTGTTATTTTTCAGAGTTATTTTTAAGTTGGTGGTCTGGTTGTAAGAGCAGCATGTCTCTGGATGTGGCTCTGGACTCACCGTCTTCCTCTTGTCTCCTTACCCCGCCTCCTCATCCCAAGCATCAGACAACTGCTGTTGGTGCTGCTGAGGCGGGCAGCCTCCCCCTCGCACCCTCCAGCCTTGTCTCCTCCTCCTCGGGTGACTGTGACAGCCAACCCACTGCCCCCCCCCCAGCCGCCCAGGCTCCAGTTGGCAGTGCGAAAGGACTTTTAACAATGAAGAAAACATCATTGCGTTTATTTGGTTAAAGCCATCCAGCGATTTTTTTCCCTAGCACTTGGGATGCTAGCCAAACCCCTCACTTTGGCTGTCAGGGCCTCAGCCTCCTCGCAGCCTCATTTCCTGAAGTATAAGTTCAACTGTGACCCCCTTCAGGAAGACCTCCCTGGACCCTCTGGCTAGAGCAACCCCGGTCCTGCTCCCGCTGTGCTCCTCTTGCCGGATGTTAGGGTTTCCACTGCGTTCGGCTCTCTCAGGAAGTGTCGTGTTGTTTCTCTGCTCATCATCGGGCTTCATGACAGTACCAGACCATCTATCCATCTATCTCAGGCCCTCAGGCCCTCCTGCATTGCTGGTACCTACAGAGCACCTGGCACTTAGGCCTTCCTCAAAAGCATTTTGTGAATGAACAAGTAATGCAGAAACAGATAAAGGCACAAGCAGATGATGAAGCTAACCACATTGACAGTCGATAATTCTCTCTCTCTCTCTCTCTCTCTCTCTCTCTCTCTCTCTCTCTCTTTCTCTCTCTCTCTGTGTGTGATGAGAATCATCTGCCCTTTTAACAGCAGGCTTGGGGGACCCTGACATAAAGCTCTGCATGTATAGGAAGTTCACGGGTGTGGGGATACATTTGCTGTCCGGCCATATGACATCTTTCCCCTCTCTGGCCTCCATTGTACTCCACCTACAGACTGACACTGGCTGGCTGGAGGCCCTGGCCTTTGAGGTCACTATGCCAGCTACTACCTGATGCACTGGAGGGAGGGAGGAAGTCAGGTGGGGATGGCAGTTCACCTGGGCATTCTGCCATGGGAGAGTAGGTACAGGCCAGGAGGTTGCTGGGAGAGCTGCCTGCATCTTGCTACTGGGAGACAGACTGCATTCACAGCCAAGGTCCCTAGATGCAGTGTTAGCATCAGCTGGATAAGTTGTCATCTTTCTCTGTGTGTCCTTGTGTTTTCAAGAACTTTTTTTTTTTTTGATACATTGACTTCTTGGATTTCTAGCTTTCAATTACTATGTATTTTTCCATGAAATAAAATAAGAAGACAAAAAACCCCACTGCACCTCAGTTCCACCATGCCAAAGTCATGGCAGTTGCTGAGCTTTTCCTGTGAAGACAGGGCTAGATTGTGGCACACGTGGCTCCTGACCTTTGGTGGCTGGCTTCCTCCTCTGATCTGATAAAGGAGTCACTCCTTCCTTTTTAATGCTGCCTTCAGGGCAGGGGAACCAGATGGAGAGGTCTCTCCTTGAAGGTGGGAACTCAGGTTTCAGTCCTCAGTCCTGCATCTACTGGGGTGCAGTCAGAGCCACGCATGACTGCTTCAGACCTTAGGTGTCACCTATAACATGAGTCTGCGATCTGTAAGCACAAGTGGAGCCCCAGGTGTGAGTCGGCTACGCAGAGCCCTGTGTGCCTTGACCCCACCCTCCTGGCTTCCTCTTTTTCCTACCCACTATTATTACCGCAGGATCCTTGCTGTATTGTGTTCTATTGTGTACCATTCTATTAGGAGAGGAACTGGGAGATCCCTTGCTGTCTTGGTTGTAATGCTTAGGTAGAGGTCAGTTTTGTTCCCAAAGGATTTTTCCCTCTAGGAACACTTTCTCTCGGACAATCTCAAGGGCTTCTCTCAAGGCTGCTGTGTCAGGGATCTGACAAAAGGCGAGGGGTAAAGATGGAGCCTTTCAAAGGTAGCCTGGCACACTGTCCTGGGGCAGCAGCATGGGGTTTAGGGCTATGGGACACTTACAGTGCTGTGGTGGGCAAGCCCAACACCACTCACAAGAAGGATGGTGGGCTCCGGAAAGGTGAGAGTAGATTTGAGGGAGCTGGATTCTGGTTTTGCCTTTGCTACTGCCTAACTGTATGACTTCGGGCAAATTATTTCCCTTCTCTGGACCTCAGATTTTCCATTGACTATGGCTCAGATAGACAAGGGTTGATTCAGCTTGTGTTGTCCAGTATGATAGCCACTAGCCACCTTTAAATTAAAATGTAAATTATAGTAAAACCAAGTGGGCCAGGGATATGTCTCTGTAGCTAAAAGGGCTTGTTGTGAAAAATGAATATCAGAATTTTGTCCTCAGATCCTATAGCAGAAGCAGAGAATCAACTCTCTCTCTCTCTCTATTTCTCTCTCTCTCTCTTTCCCTCTCCCTCTCTCCCCCCCCCCCCCCCCACATCAGCTTCACTATCTACATATCTATATGCATGGGTGGCTGGTGGCTACCACATTGGGTATGACGGCACACATTCAGAACCTTACTCAGTGCAGAAAACTCTATTGGGCATACAGGTTTGGCAGTCCTTCCAGGGGCCTAGTGAGCCCTAGTGAGCCCTAGTGGGCTGTGACCCTATGAGTCTGGGCCTCTGTCTTTAGATCTTCTTAAAGGGCCAGGACAAAACGGAACATCTCTGACCTTAAAGCCAGCATCCTGAAGAAGGGGTGATTTGGAGGGGTCTCTGTGTGTGGTCACCACATCCCGTCTCTCAGCCAGTCTCTTTTTGGAGAAGGTGAGACAGAGGGTGGGGGGCCCTCAGGTGGCCCCCAGCAGGAATGGATCACTAGCGTAGAGTGAAGGTACAGCCCGTAGCCTTCTGATTGCTCACACAGGAGGGTGTGAGGAGCCCTGGCTCATCTCTTCCTTCTCTCAGGCCTTGACTACCACCTGGGAACCTAGGAGTAGGGGTAAGATGCCAGGCTAAGGAAGCGAAGGCTGGCTGATCTCACCTCAGATTAGCTGTTAGTCCAACATTGCCGCCCCACTCCCCATCTTCCACCCCTCTGTCCCTCATAAGGCCCCTACAACTCACTCTCGTTCTCCTCTTTTCTAGGGATCCTAAGGCAATGTTCTGGCTGTCTTGAGTCTGTGGGCTGCATGGCCTCCTGCCCAACTCTTGAGGCTCTGACCCTGTCCAGCCCTGACCAGCCTCAAGCTGATTGCTGGCCCTACCTGGTCTGGGGAGCCCCTCGTGCTTCAGGACTCAGTCAAACACTGCAACAGTTACGGTAGGTGCACCCCAATCACCCCTGCTCCCTAGCTCTTGGGATACCTGAGTGTTCTTGGTCCTGGAGGAGAAAGGGCCCTTTTTGAATGATCCTTATCAGAATTATAAGTAGGGGTTGGGAAAACCCTGTTTCATATAGCCAGTGTCTAGTGATAGGACGGGCTTCAGGCAAAGCTTGGTTCAGCCGTTCAGACACTGTGAGAAGACTCTGACTTCTGACTGTGTCCCTTATGCCTCTTTCTGGGTGGTGGCTGCACTCTTCGTGGCATTTGACACAATCTGGGCCAGTGTATTTCTAGATTTAAGTCTGGGGTTGAAGATGGAAATCTGCTTTCATGATGAAACAATTAAAGCTCTAGCATTGACCGCTTGGTCCTCATTGGTAGGATTTGGACCATTCTGAGCCTTTAACTGGGACTGTGGGTCTTGAAGACACTGATGGTCTAGGGGATTAGGACCCAACCTTTCCCAGTCAGGGAACCAGGGCAGAGAGAAGGTTGTTCCTCAGAGAAATCTCAACCTTGCTGCAGGTGATGCGAGACTCTACAACTGAAAGAGACAAAGACAAAAGGTTATTGCAGACAGATTTTTCACCCCAACTGGACAGCCTGAAGCCAGACCAAATGGACATGAACATGCCGTGGGGCCTCAGATGAATCCCTAGCCCTCTTCTCTGAGTTTAGCTTCCTCATCTGGCAGGGCCACCAAAAGAGCCACCTGACATCTGGCATCTGGCAAGAGCTCAGGACACTCTCTTTCTCTTCCTCTTCCTGTTCTATTCTCTTCCCCTTCCTGTTCTGGGGATGTTTGAGACATCCATGTTTTCTTCATACTTGGGATCCACTGGGGAAGCGTGTTGGTCAGAATCCCCACAAGCAGGGCTTCAGCCAAGGTTTTGTATGCATGAGATCTGTAGAGAGTAGATTGTAGATCTGCTGAGGTTGAAGTGAAATGGGAGTCTGTTGGGGGATGTTCTTGGGTAAAGTCCGACTGGTCCTGCAACACAGTTCAGAACCACGCCTGCATAAGGAGCCAGGCTCCCCACTCTGCATCAGTCAGGCATTAGCCATCCACAGGGCCCAGCATTGCTCAAGCAAGGGGTGCCTGTTTGAAGAGTATTTCTCTGGAGAGGGGGAGCAGTAGGCTGCTACAGGGCTCTCCGACCCTGGAAGATGGGGTGCTGTCCCCTCTGCCTGGTCCCCAGCAGCTCTTCTCTTTCCTGCCCTTCTTATGTCTTTCCTTATTCTCCACCCCTGCCCACTGTTTAAGGCCCACTTCAGGCCTTCTTTTCCAGGGAGTCTTTGCTTGCTGTTCCAGCCAGCAGCTATCTCCAAGGGTCCATGTTCTTTGTAGGAGGACAGAGATGCAGGCAGCATTTCCTCACAAACACTTCATTGCTTACCATATCAGTGCCAAAGTCTAGTGCTCTGTTTGCTTTGACTGCCAGGGAGCTCATAGACAAGGTGTAGCTTTTTCTGCTAAGCCATCAGGAAACAAACATTCAATAAACCTGCTCCTGGCTTTGCCTTCACGCCTTTTATCCGCTGTCCTGGTTTCTTCTTTTTAAGCTGTGCTGCTGACGTCCCTTGAACTCTTTCAGAAAGAGGTGGGGCTCAGATAGCCAGGAGGGGCTGGAAGTGAACCCCACTGCTGACTGCAGACAAAGGTCAGCCTTGACCTTCCCAGAGGAGCCTGGAAGAGGGTGTCCCCGACCCAGGTCCAGGCTCATGTCCAGGAGACAGACACCAGAGCCTGACCATGGGGGCCATGGCCAGTGCCCACCCTGCCCTCTGTGGCTTAAGAAAAGCATTGTTCTGCTCCCAGCCATCTCCTCCCTCCCTGACTTATCAGAAGCTAATGAAAGAGGCTGGAAACCCAATCCTCTGGTAATTAAATTTACTTAACGGGTATTCAAGTGGAGTAATGAGAAGTTTAATGCAGTGATTAGATTTTTCTTTAATTAATTAAAATGAGAGCTGTGTGTCTTGCCAGCAAGCCAACTTGACCCCGTGCTTGAGAGCAACCGGCAGACAGTGGGGGACTTGACTAAGTAAGAAGGGGCTCAAGGTGGTGGCATCCCCAGCCCCGGCACAGCTGCCCTCAAAAGCGATGCCTGCTCAGGCCACTCACCCAATCAGTGCTTGTTTCTGAGCTGGGGGTGGGCCAGGTCTGAGCCTCAGGCCCAAGGAACTGGGGGTACCACCTTCAAAGAGCCCACAGGGAGCCATGTGAGGATCAGAGAAGAGAGTTAGCAGAGCAGGTTGACAAAAAGCAGGAGGGTTTCCAGGACCTAGACAGCAGAAGCGTTGAGGGTGGTACCTTCTGTATGTCCAGCCAGACCCAGGTTAGCGCTGAACCAGTTGTGCTGACAGGAAGTGGATTAATATGGAAGGAGAGTGGATAAGGCTAAGTGGATTGGGGCTCAGGGTGGCGCCGGTGACCTGTAGAGCCCTGTGCCTGGGCATCTGTTCCAGAAGGCTGGTCCTCTTTGTTATGTTGTCAGGGACATGTTTCGCCCTGAAGCCACTTTCGCTGGGTTCTGCCCATGGGGGTTGGGTACAGCAGTCTGGAAATGACACCTTAGTTGTGTGGAGCGGATATTGGATAGGTCTCCCCAGAGTAGAAAAACTCAGAAAAGACTGGTTAGGCCAGAGGCAGGATATGTTGCCTCTAAGCAGTGGGCAAGTGGTTTGGCTGCAGCCCCATGTGAGCCAACCACTGTGCTGCATTCTCCCAGAAGAGGAACGGGTTCTGGGGGTGGGAGGACTGAGTGGCCCTGTTTGTCTGTCCCCACTGCCAGCTCTGCCGCCTGTGGGCAGGACTCCCGTGCCAGACCCTGCTCAGAATGGCCTAGATGAATCAGACGTGGTCCTTGCCCACAGGGCTAGTGGGGGAGGTGAAATATAAACAGGAACAACAGGACTAAGCGATCAGAGCCGGGGTGGGGGCGGCCTTGGGGCTGGGGTGGTTCATGGATCTGTGTTTAAAGCATTGGCTTGGAACGAGTAGGAGAGCTGGAGGTGGGGGTAACAAGGAAAGGAAGATGAGGAGGAAGGCACCTGTGAGAGGCTGGGGCCCCAGGAAAATGACTCTTCCTCAGGACCAGCTGTGACCCTCAGCTCCCAGAGAGCCAAGGTACTCATGTGTGGGAGGGTTGGCGGCGTGTCTGACATTGGGCTGGTAGTGACACCTTTACTAAGAAGCCATGTGTGTTCCTTTCCTAGACGACTTGGGGACAGGCAGGGTACTGTGTGGTGATGTTCATCTGGATACTGCCAGGTCGGGCTGGCGTGTGCTAGGCCTGTGGCCTCCAGGCTTGCCCACTGGAATACACTCACTCTGAGAGCAGGGGGTCAAGTACCTTCTTGTTACCACATGGAGGACACAGCTGGGCACTAGCAGGCCTGAGGGAGTCAGTCAGAGAGCCTGGGCGATCAGGCTGACACCCAGAGTTGGGTCTTTGGCCTGGGGAAGTGAGGGAAGCCTCAGTTGGGCAGGCATGGGGCATGGAGCTATCTGACCACAGCTCAGAGCATGGCACTAGCCAGAGCTGAAGGGCCTTGTGTCCCCCTCTGCCTCCCAGATCCCACACCTCTGCATCCCCTCGTCTCTGTTTCCCTCATCCATGCCCATCCCTGAACATTTAGGAGTATAGAAGCCACCCGTCTGAGAAAAGGGAAGCCAAGAGAGGGGTACAGTGACCTGCCTCCAATATCACACTAAGGGACAGAGTCTGAGATCACATTATCTTGAGTTCTCTCCCTAAAGAGATAGTTCACTCTTTCCCTGGATGGGGGCCTTGAAGGGCAGGTACTCTCCCAAGCTGGCTCCTCACAGCAGGTACCCCAGGGAACAAGAGTATCCAGATGGTCCACCTGCCCTCAATTGTCTCTTCTAACCTTCTGCTGTCTGGGAAGCCTTCTTCCTTCATGGCCCCTAACTGCAGACACAGCACCAGGCACCTCCCGTGGGCACCATCTCACAGCTATTGCCTGCCTACCTCTTGGGCTCTTGGGGACTCTCTTCTGATCTATCAGCCACTTGAGGAGTGGAGGGTGTCATTTGTCCCTGGTGTCCTAGCCAAGTAGTCCCCTGAGCCTGCCACACAGTAGGTACACAAGAGGTAGCTGAGGTTCCGTCACACCCATGATCCCCTCTTCTTGTGCTGTGACTTCTCTTCTGTCCTGGCTCAGTGGGTCCCTCATAGTGGGTCTGTAACAGGGTTCAACCCCTCCCCTACAGCTTTCAGGCTCCCTGCTTCGGTGACTTCCCTGCACACCCTCCTACCATGCCCAGTTGTGGGGAGAAGGATCAAGACAAATGGCATCAGGGGCTCTGGGGCAAGCCTTAAGGCACAACAGGCCCAGAGCCAAGGGGTCCCTGCTTGGGCTGCTGAGACAGGTGGAAAGCTACCCAGGGCAGTGTCTGGACTCCATTCCCTGTTTTTCTAATCCTGGCTGTGCGGCCATGAGCAGATCCTACAACATCTTTGTGTTTAGGTTTCCTCTTCTCTTAAAGGGGCAATGGCAGACCTGCTGCAGATGGTGGCAACGCGGAGGAGTGAGTGTACGGCGTCAGGCCCACCGTGCACTCAGGACACAGTGTGCATGCCCTCCGAACACTGCTACCGTTGCATGGCCTGATGAAGGTGTTTGGGGGTGGCATTTAGGAGGGATTTCAGAAGATGGGGACATAGGAGCCGCAGCGTGAAAGGGGACTAGGTGAGGCACACAGACAGGAGAGAACCTGCCGGGGAGAAACCAAAGATGGTTGACAGGAAAGAGCTGCAGCCATGAAGGAGTGTCCTCACACGAGAAAGCCTCCATCTCCCCAAGCCTTTTCTGCTAGTACCTCCCTGCCATTGGTCAGGTGTGCCTCCTTCTAGAACTTTACCTCTGGCTTTACAAACGCATTTATTGTGTATTATTTTAGAATGGGAATGGGATCATATCTGTACATCATTCTGCAAGCCCCATTTGTCGTTACCAGTGTGTG